GCCTAGGCCGATGTCTGAAAGGGTCTTCCCAACATCTTCTTTTAGAATTCTTAAGGTTTCATGTCTTAGGTTTATGTCTGTTATCCATCTTAAATTGATTTTTGTGAGAGGTGAGAGATGGGGGTCTAGTTTCATTCTTCTGCATGTAGCTATCCAGTTTTCCCAGCACCGTTTATTGAAAAGAGATTCTTTTCCCCAGTGTATATTTTTGAATTGGTGAGATTGTTTCTTATAAGGGAAAATGAGGATCATTGATAATATTTACTGAATGCTAATCACTTGTAACTACTTTCGATTCCATGTTATAGCTGACAAAACTGAGACATAGAGAAGTTAAATAATTTTCCCAATGCCACAAACTTACAAGTGGCAGACTTGGGATCCAAAGCTAGGAACCAAGGTTCCAATGAGTTACTTAAACCTCCAGGGAATACTGGTTCTCCATCCCTGGCTGAGATGTCAGAAGACCCTGCGTATAAAGTCTTTGCGGCCTTTGACAAATCAGTTTGCTTCTTATGATCCTCAAGTTTCTCATGAGATAAATGAATGGGGACTAGAATTTAGTATTGGTAACTTTGGGTTGATCTCATGACCCTTTGAGTAAGCTGTGTCCTCTCTCCATGGTGGACAATAGATGGACACATATCCACAGACACCCCGGAACCTGTTTCTTGCCCTAGGTTAAAACCCCCTGGAATAGAAAATATTTAAATTTCTTTTAAATCTAATATTCTGCTATCTTAAGAAAAGCTGACTTCAAGTTTATTAGTCACTTTTTCAAAGGGCAAGAATTTACCACACAGTGACCTATTAAGTGATTGCTGAGTATGTGCCTTATTTATAGGTTGGTTTGGGTTGTATTCTTTCTTGTGACCTTGCATGTTCTGAATGCTGCTGAAATCTTTCACTTTGAGGACATTTTTTATTAAAAGAAAAATTTTAGGTGCATCCGGATTGAACTACTCTGAGGAAGTTATGGTGTTTACCTGAAGCTAATAAAATAATTTATGTTTTCCCAGTAAATGAGATCTGAAAAAAAAAACCAATGTGTCAATACCAAAATCAGTTTGAAAAGGATCTACTGTGAGATTCCATTCCTCAAATAAAATGTAGTTTAACAAGGAGGCATTCACTCTGTCTTCCTTCTTATAGGAATAGTTTTCGTTAGAATGTAGAAATGATGGCATGTTTTGAAGCCATAAACTTAATATGTATCAAACTTGATGGCTTTCAAGATCAAAGGACTGAGTTTTAATTTAAATGTATGGATTTTTATTATAAAAACAAAGTATCTTGCTAGAAAATAGATCGAGACATTTTGTGTATTCTCTCTTTGTCACCTAAGGAAATTGCAAAAGCATGTGTTCAAAATTGTGTAAGATTTAGTATACACAGCAGGAAAGTACTCTGTATAGATTTTTAAAAAATGCACTAGTACTGTTCTGCCCTTGAGCTAAAATGCATTAATATTTTGATTCTTTTCTATGTAAAATTTGGTTGAAAGATTGTTCATTATTGTTGAATTTCAATATGATTGCAGATTAAATGATGCAAAACCCAATAAAGTAAAATACACAAAAGAGCAATTAACATGTTATCTCAGTAAGTATATAGACGAATGAGAGAACATACTGTTCTACACTACAGCATGTAATTAAGATGTAGTCATCAATCAGGGAAATATTATATCTTGTTTAGGTGCACAGGTGGGTTTTGAAAGATTGATTAGCTCTTCTTGCCCCCATGAGATGCAGGTTTGTAGTTATTCCTGAAAAAATTAAACAGAATAATTTCTCATACTTCCTACAGTACGTATGCTTCAATGCAAATAGCATGCTGCTGGAGATAAATGGGAAGTGTTCATTTCCTTGTCTGTTCTATTCCAGATGCTCTCTACGATGTCATCACTGTGGGAGCTCCAGCTGCACATTTTCAGGGATTTAAGAATGGTGGTCTTCGGAAACTGCTTCATAGATTTGAAACAGAAAGAAGAAAGTAAGTAAAGACGGGAGGAAAGCACACAGTCCATTAATATTATCTTCCCTTTGGGGAAGGCTATATACAAGGTTAGGATAAAGATGGTTGGCCCATCACAATGATGGTTGGCCCATCCAACCCATTCTGTAACATAATGCTGTTGAATTTCTCAAAACTACTTGAGAATAAATTAGAGTAACCAAAATGCCAGAGTATGTTGCTTATTGAGCAGCCCTGTGCTGGCAGGAAATTTTCCAAGAAGCCATGCTACCAAGAAACAGGTGATAATCTAGAATCAACCATTGCTCACTCAAAGGAATCATGTTCATTCAGATAGAGATTCTGCTGGAAACACAGGCTAATTTCGCTGTGGAGCCCAAGGTACTTAATGGAGAGCATGGGTCCTAATTTTTGATTCTTTCCCTATTCTTGATTTCCACTGTGGCCTGGCACAGTGCACATAACTGGCCTGTCATTTAATTGTTCCCTTTGAAAAAGATATCAGTATAGAATTCTATGTTAAGTGATGAGATTAAATGAGAAAACCACCTATTCCTTAGGGAAAAGGCATGACACAAAACCCAAAGTATTAGTATTGTTATTATGATCTTAATATGCCCTTTCTCCAGTTTTTGATTTTAGCTGCTTTTAAAAATTGCCCTATTAAGCTTTCGCATCAGTAGTTTATCCTCTTCCCACAGGTCCCATCCAGTTGAGCTTATCCTATAAATTCTCTGGCTATGCCTACGCTCATATAAACCATAAAGAGTATTGCCTACGTATGAGGAATAACTTTCCTTTTCAAATAATGTCTCTTCTTGGATTACGAACCCAAATTTTGAAATTTAGGGAAAGATACTCATTATTTATTGTGGGGGTGAGAGGAAACTTCCCCTTTCTCCCAAAAGTCCACTGAAAGATCAACTCACAATTAAGTCAGATTAATAAGAGAAAAGTTTGTTTACTGTGTGCACGGGGAGAATCACAGTCATTACCCAATATCCCAGTGGGATCGAGATATTTTGATATCATTCTTTTAGCAGGGAGGGCGAGATGAGGAGTACAGGTAATTCTGTTTAGGGGCAATGAATTGTTGCTGGGGAGGATGACTAGATATTTGGGAGAATGAATGGGTTGGGGGGAACACATTAACTTTTAAATTAACCTGAAAGACAGGTATTATGTTTAAAATGATTTGGGACAGGTCTGGTTGCATTCTTGATCTTTTTCCTGCAATATATTAATATGACAGGGAGCAGAAGGGAAGTCGATTGTTCTTGTGATGGGTCCATCTGCTTATGCAGAGGTATAGGGGAAGCCCCTTCCAAGGATCTGTTGATCCACAAGGGCCTTTAATTCAAAATATTCTTTACACCAAGGAGTCATATTTTGGGGTGAAGGTTCCGGAGCTCCTTCATTCATCATAGCTGGCTTAGTGATTGTAAGGTTTTTGGATGGGTGGCGGCAGAGAAAGAAAGATGAGCAGAGTGAAAAGGGGCAAGCAACGAGGCTTTATTGGGGGAAGGGGAAAGAGAGCACTCCCGGACGAGGTTCACTGGTCCCGAGAGAGGGGGCCAGTGAAGTCGCCCACCCAGAAGTGTTGAGTGGTCTTATAAAGGTTTTGGAGTTGGAGGATGGGGGTTTCTCTTTGGTGTGAACTTTGGCGCGAACTTTTGGCGCTCAAAGTAGAGTTCTTTGTTACAGCCTTTAAGGTGGGATTCATGGGCTTCCTTTTTCTCTAGGGAGGGGAGGGGTGCTGGCCACCAGCCTTACAGTGATAGTATTAGAAAATCTATTTCAGTGGCAAAACCAGAATTTTTTTTTAAAATTTTATCACATTTATAACATATAAAATTTGGTTTTTGATGCCCAGAGGTTCAGGAAGAAAACATTTAAAGGAAGTTAGAATTAAATAATTGACATGCTGTTACATGAGTATATAAACTTAACCAATGCATACATAATTTTCTCTCTCTTTTTTTTTTAAGGAATTGACTTTGGTGTAGTATTATTAACTCAGCTATAGCTCTTATTCTGATTTCTCCAGTTTTGGAGGTGTTTTTTGTTTGGTTTTTGGTGGGGAGGGTTTATACTTCTGTGAAGTTCTATCCCATGTGTAGATTAGAGTAACGATCACCATAATCACAGTACAGAATTCTTGCATCTTTTGCTTTTAGGTCCTCAATATTAACCTTAACACAAATCATAAATTACATAGGCATAAACAGTCTTCTAGGTGTTAGATTAAAAAAAGAAAGAAAGAAAGAAAGAAAAAAAGACTACTTTTTCTGAGTTCAATAAGATTTAGAAATAAACAACATCAAATTAAAAAAAAAAAGAACTCTTGCATCACCACAAAGAAACTCCCTGGGATTACCCCTTAATATTCACACCCTTCCCCCAAGCCTTGCTGCTGTAGAAAGTGGAGTGGAAGTGAGGAGTGGAAGTCAGAGTCACAGGCTCTGCATGGGAGGGGCATCTCCTATTTACTTTATGGGAGTTGGAAGTCCAGTCAAACCACAGAACCCATAGGGAAGGAATGCCATCTCTTCACTGAAGTGGGGATGGAGTGGAGGACACAGACTGCCCATAGGCTCTACAGAGTGGGGCACAAGGGTGTTTCTCACTGCCTCTTATGGCATCATCCTTTGAGTGGGGGAGGGGCACTACTTTTTTTTGTGGTATTCATTTCCAGAGCTATTTAGTGTACTTAAAAGGTTTGTGTTATGTTAGGCTGCCTTTTTTCCAGTTCTTTGGCTTTCCTTCAGTGCTGCTTTGGGAGGCATGATGCTGCATTGAAGGCTTCTCTGCCACCCAGGCTTAGACATATAGGAGATAAAAAAAAAAAAACCCATGGAACTCACTGTCATGTCATTCCTTAAGTCCTGAGGCCCCTAAGCAATATATCTTTTTCCTCTACCTCTTAGAGTCATTTGTTAGGTGACATATATATTTTGTCTAGAGTGTTTTATTGTGATTAGCAGGAGAAGTTAAATAGATTGTGTTTGGTCTAGCTTGTCTGGAATTGTTAAGTTTCTACCTTGAGAATTGACTTAATCTATTTTTTCTCAATTAAATTTTAAATTGCATAACATAATTAGAAGACTCAAAACTCTCCACGGGGCACCCAGAATCTAGTTGAGCATATAAAGCGTCAGTATGTGAAACATGGAACCTAACCCTATAATTTTATATAAAATATCACTATATGCTACTGGCAAAGATTAATGTTGAGTTCTGTGGTTAGACCCTGAGTAATATTTCTTTCTTTCTTTCTTTCATTTTTTGAGACAGGATCTTTCTCTGTTGCCTGGGCTAGAGTGTAGTGGCATCTTCATAGCTCACTGCAACCTCGAACTCCTGGGCTCAAGTGATCCTCCTGCCTCGGCCTCCCAAGTATCTGGGACTACCAGCATGTCTTATCACCCCTCATCAATTTTTCTACTTTTTGTAGAAATGGG